ACCCCTCAAAAACTAAAGTGGGATACCGACTATAAGTTAAGGACTTTTCTGGAAATTGTATGAGAACCTCCACTCCAAACATATATCTCAATGCAAGGGATCTTCCTTAATTGTCTACTTGCACTAGGTGGCGTAGCAACCAAAGAACACGAAAGGTGCTTGTTTGCTTGAGGGAGCCTAAACCGTAAAACAAAGGGAACCTACTCTAGGTTCTAGAACCCTAAACCCTAAACCCTGTACGATCCCTTAAATTACTGCTAGACCCAGGAGTAACCTAGGAATCAGAAGGGTACACTTCTTGGTTTTGAGGGGATTATAAGGGAACCCCAAGTAAGGGCCTACTCTGGTGGGCAGCCTTGCACGGTGATTCTGTATTCGAGTCCGTCGGGGACAGATCAGGAATCGCCCTGCCTCCCCCACACGGTGGCTTCCATGTGCTGCTGGCAGAAGGAGTCAAACCTGGTGTAGGGTTTAGGTTTAGGGTTTGGGGTTAGGGCTGAGGGTTCAGGATTTAGGGTTCGGGCCCTGACTAGGCTTCAGAATTCCGGGGTTTGGGGCATGATTTCAGGGTGAACCGTGAACGCGGAACCCCAAAACCCGCAAATGCCAGTCCCGAAGCCCCGAACTGGTATCCCACCAAGCCCTCGCCGTTTTGCCCTTAGAACCCTAAACCCTAAAAACCCGACACCCTAGCACCCCACCGAGAGCCTTAAACAAATTAAGAAGCAACTGAGAAGCCAAGGCCTAGACCCTAAACCCTAAACCCTAACATCTGCGGCCTTGACAAGTCGTGCTCCCGAATGCTGTCGGTTTGCAGTACAACAATTTCATAAACCCTAAACCCCAAACCCCAACCCCCAAAGCCCAAACCCCAGACCCCAAACCAAAAACCCTAAACCCGACGCCTCGTGTTGCATCTGCCATCTCGGGGGCGAAGCGCGTCGCACACAGGGCAAGGGCCCTAGCGCAGAGATCGTGCTGGGTTTCAGCGTTCTGGTTTAGGGTTGAGGGCTTCATTAGGGTTTAGGGCTTCATTAGGGTTTATAGCCATTCGGGTTGAAGGATTGGGGTTGATAGGGAGTTGAGGGTTTGTAGGGTTTGGTGTTCAGCTCCCTTGGAGGGAATCCAAAAAGTTGCCAAGCTTCTACAGCCCCGGCGTCTTATCAATCAGTAACCCTAAACCCTAGACCCTAAACCCTAAACCCTAAACCCTAAACCCTGAACCCAATGGAAGGCACCCCGCGATTGTGGCCCAGCTTTTGTACCCCGAAGCCTCAAACATGAAACCCCGCGCAGCGGACGGTCACTCGTTTGCTATGGCAAGCGGACCTATACAGGGTGGGGCCCCCTAGTTATAAGTAGAGTTATAAGGGCCCTAAATTGGGTTATAAGGACCCTAAGTTAGGTTATAAGTCCCTTAACTACAGTTAGTATAGTAAGGGGGCCCCACCCTGTATGGGGGTTTGCGAAAATAGGGGGCTACTAATATAGACCCCAAGTAGTAGGATTCCGTGATAAAAAGGACCCCAATAAGGTACCCTCCAGATTCGGAAATCGCCACAAACACCGACAAGGTGGGGATTCGCATTCGAGCCCCAGTCTACACTACCTCTCCGCCCCGAAGGATGTGGGCTTTGTTTATCGAACCGGAAGGTGCTGTAGGATCAGGATGCGAAGAGAGTGTCCTTTCCTCAGGAGGGGAAAATCTCGGCAGGGCTCATGTAAGGTTTTGGCTTGTAGGGTTTATCGGGGGTCCAGGACCTAGTCCCCCCCCCCAACGGGTTTGTAAGGTTTATAGGGCTTGCAGAGTTTCTAGGCTTTATAGAGTCTGTAGGGTCTATGGGGTTTATCGGGCTTGTAGGGTTTACAGGGACCTGGAGGGTCTATCGGGTTTTCTTGAATCCTCGCAGGGCGCCTGCATGCTCGGGGTGCCCGCCGCACCACGGCGCGCATTTGGCCTAGAGACGCTCAGAAGTGCAGGACAAACTCTCTGTGCGCTGAGTTCAAGGGTCGGGCGTATAGAGCTTATTAGGGCTTAAAATCTAAGCATTGACCCCAAGTCTTACGGCCAACACCATCAGCGGACGACAGCTTCTTCTTCGTAAGAGGACTATCGGAGGAGGAGAAGAGGGCGTTTGGGGGAAAACAAATAGGGAACTGCCATCACGGGTCCGAGACCAAACCCTAAACCCTAAACTCTAAGCCCTAAACCCTGAACCCTAAACCCTAAACCCTAAACCCCAAAGCCCAAAACACTACCGAGTTGGCTAATTGAGGCCATGTCCTATCCCCCTCGATTTGCGGCCCCTTTTCCTAAGGAGCGCAGGGCATACAAGCATGATATGGTGAGTTCTGAAAATTCGGGTCCTTGCTTGGGTGCCCGAAATAAGAGGGGCCGCCTCATAACAAAAGGACATTTAATTTAGAGAAATCAACATACAACATGAACACACCCCAAGCTTCGCAATGAAAAGGCGATCGACGAGTTCATCGGTTGCCCGGAGTACGGAGTTGCATCGGGGCCCGAGCAGGCGCAAGCTTAGTTTTGGCCTTTCTTTCAATTCTTAAGGCTCCTTGGTAGCACGGTAACCATGTTAAAATAAGGGCACCCTTTTTCGGGTCAGTAACTTTATAAGGGAACCCAGAACCAAAAAAAGGGTAAAGGGTACCACTGGGCTACCGGGCGGCTACCGAGGCTCAGAGGTTGGGAGCTTCTGGGAAATAACATGTAGGGTTTAGGGTTTAGGGTTTAGGGTTTAGGGTTTAGGGTTTAGGGTTTAGGGTGTAAGCCGCCAGGGGGTTGGGGGAGTTAGCGGTTGATCGGTTGACTTCTGAACTCTTTCGGGCTTCCTAAACTCTATGACGCAACTGCAAACCTTAAGATTCTTGAGGTATTAGCGTTTAGAATTGAGGGTTTAGGGTTTGGGCTTTGAGCTTTTGGGTTTTGCAGGGTGTGGCTCGGACTCTGCCTAATGGGGTTTAGGCGTACAGCGCAACATTTCATACGACCCCCAAAAAATCCCCTTCCAATAGCCTCTATCCCCAAAATGATCAGCACATCGGCCAGCATTCTGGGCATATCTTGGAGGTTTGTCCGGCAACCCTAAACCCTAAACCCTAAACCCTAAACCCTAAACCCTAAACCCTAAACCCTCAACCCTAAACCCTAAACCCTAAACCCTAAACCCTAAACCCTAAACCCCAGCCCAGTCCGCCGGGTCACAGTAGCAAGCGGCCGCCATGCAGCCTCACTGCTGCCGGGCCATGTACAAGTCTGCGATTTAGGGTTTAGGGTTTAGGGTTTAGGGTTTAGGGTTTAGGGTTTAGGGTTTAGGGTTTAGGGTTTAGGGTTTACTGAGGGTGTCATTGGCTAGCCTTACGCCGGAGGGTTGAGGCTTGAGGGGCTCAGGGTTTGGGGGGTCGGTTGCGCGTAGTGCGGGGGTGGGGACGCTAACCCTAAACCCATAGAGGTTCCTAGGTGCACACGACTTCTTTTTTGCGGAAGGTTTCCGTAGAAGAGGGCCTCCGAAGTAGGTGGGGCTTACTGGGGGACTGGCGCGGGGTGGGCGGGGTGGGCTGCCTAGGCTTATGAGGCGGTTTAGTGTTCAGGGTTTAGGGCAGCTGGTGATGTGACGTGAGCCCTGACGGCAACGGACGTAGCGCGCAAAGCTTTGGCACATCACGGACTACAAGCATGAGCCAAACAGTAGCCAAAACACGCCCGGAAGGTACCCGCCGAGCTCCCGGCATAAGGTTCGCCGAACACGCAGAACCCAAGGCTACTCACTTGGGGACATGCCTCCCCCAACGAAACAAACCTGCGGCTCCTATCCGAAGTCAGGATGCCCCACTAGTCACGCCTCTGCTTGGAGGGGTTCGGGTTTGGGGTTTAGGGTTAAAATTCCTTGGGAATTGCCCTGCATGTAGAGGGACATTTAGAACAACACTAGCCCTAAACCCTGAACCCTGAACCCTAAACCCTAAACCCTAAACCCTAAACCCTAAACCCTACACCCTAAACCCTAAGCCCTAAGCCCTAAGCCCTGACGAAGGACATCTGGGTCTCGCAGTGGTCGCAACTTGGCGCCTTGGGTGTCGCAACAGCGACAGCCGCCGTCTCGGGGACTTCGCCTTAAAGGCGCACTGGGAGGGCTGACCTCCAGTAGACCATCGGGCACTGGGGTTTAGGGTTTAGGGTTTAAGGTTTAGGGTTTAGGGTTTAGGGTTTAGGGTTTAGGGTTTAGGGTTTAGGGTACCCACAATCCGAACTCTAGAGTGGCCATACCCCCCCCCCCCCGCCCGCCAAGTCCCAGGGCCAGGGCACGCTGGTTTTACGTCCGCAACAGAGCGGTGGCAAGGCTGTACCCTCACACCTCAGTCTGAAGCCCTAACCTCTGGTTTAGGGCTTGGGGTGTAAACCCTAGACCCTAAACTCACAACCTTAAACCCTAAACCCTATAAACCCTAGCCCTAAACCCTAAACTCTAAACCCTATATCTTAAACCCCCAAAACCCGAACTCTGTGTCCAGGGGTTGGGGATTCACCGCGGTTCCAGTCAGCAGCGCTTTGGCCCGATCCGGAAACAAATGCTTAGGGCTCAGGGTTTAAGGTTGAGGTTTAGGGTTTAGGGTTTAGGGTTTAGTGTTTAGGGTTTAGGGTTTAGGGTTTAGGGTTTAGGTTTAGGGTTTAGGGTTTAGGGTTTAGGGTTTAGGGTTTAGGGTTTAGGGTTTAGGGTTTAGGGTTTAAGGTTTAGGGCTCGAATCTGAAGCTTCTTTGGCGGGCCTTAGGGTGTTCAAACGAATCAGATGCTCAGGCTCCAGGTGTGGTCAGAGCGCAGGAGTCGCAGCCTGCACGTGGCGAGGCCAGAAACGTTAAAAAATGTCCCATAACGTAACGCTCGCGCACAAGGACCCAGAGCAAAGCTGGCGTAACAGGGTTCAGGGTTTCGGGTTAAGGGTTCAGGGTTTAGGGTTTAGGGTAATACTTCCACTCCCGGCCGCTACTGCCAGACGCTGATGTCCGACAAGATCAGCTCGGCGCCAATGGCTCCGCCACACTGGGCCTAGCATGGGCTAGACCCGGGAGTAACCTAGGAACAAAAACAGGGTACCCTTTTTGGCTTTAATGGGATTAGAAGGGAACCCCAACCCTCAAAAAAGGAAAAAAGGGCCTACTCCCGGTCCTAGTGGGCTGATGGATCGTACGGTTTTCGGGTTCTGGGTTCATTGATGATGAATGGCTGAAGTCCATGGCTGCGCGCAAAGTCGACACTCGGGCACCTGTAGGCATTTAGGACTGCTACGCCCAATCTCTACATGCATAGCCTTGGGCTGAGGGGTTAGGAATTTAGGGTTCACAGGTCTGCTAAGCCCAATCTCTACATGCAGAGCTTCGGGCTTAGGGCGCGGATTGGGGGTTGGGGTTTCAGCCGTTTCGCTCCTTGCTCGGTTTTTCCCACAGTACCTCCAGCCCCCATCTATGAATCAAGGGGCTAGTAAGGAGGGAGCCTTACAAGGGACCTTTCGGGTTCTTTAGGGGTTGCTTAGGGGTTGTTTAGGGGCTACTTAGGTATATAAGGACTATGTAAGGTATTTTAGGGGAACTAAACCCCATGCACCAAAGCAATGAGGACACTGCTAGGCTCCAAAATGAAAAAAAAAACTGTTAAACCCTAAACCTTAACCCCTGAAATTGAAGCTGGCATTTTGTGGGCTTAAGGCTTATAGAACTTATAGGGTTCAAAGTTGACAGGCCGGAACCCTTAAGCCGAAACCATGGGAACCCAAAGGGGGGCCTGGCAAGCATCGCCTCCCCAGAAGCACGGCGCGCCGCCGTAGCCACCAACGGCAATGTTGAGAACGATTTTCCTTGGGTTTAGTCTTTGGGGTGGGGGGAAGGGGGCACCCCCTCAACAAAAAAACTAGCAACAGCACTAGCAATATACGATACACATGCCCACAAAGATTTGTGGATAGAGTTGAGGAGAACACAGGGTTTGAAGTTGGTAGTAAGTCGGATGGACCGGAAGCCAAATGGCATGGGAATGTCGAAGGGCGCGTCTGGAGAGTGGCGGCCGGGGAAGCACTTCCCCATGTAGTCCTCAGGGGCTTGATCGCCCTGCATGATAAAGCAGCGACAGCACTTGCTACTTGAGATTCACACTTACAACCTGTCGTGAACCTAACCCGCATATGCAGGTTCAGTTGCAAACGGACCACAGTAGCCAAGCTACTGCCCGCAGATCCCAAAGTTGCGCAAATAGGGACAAGGGTTATGGGGTGGGGTACTATTTTTGAAGGGCTGGTTTTACATTCAGGCGTCAGGGTACGACGATTTGTGGGCTATGGCAAGTTACCCTTAGGCTCACAATAGCCCAAAAACATTTTATAAACAGGCCTTTGGGCCCAAAAACCTCAAATTCAGAGTCCTTCGAGCCTCAGGGTTAGGGTTTAGGGTTTCGGGCTTAGGGTTTAGGGTTTGGGGTTTAGGGTTTAGGGTTCAGGGTTCAGGGCTCAGGGTAGTCTAGGGTTCAGGGCTTAAGCTTCAGGCTTTCGCATGGCAAACTAAAGGGTTCCGTGTCCTGCACCGCAGCCCATGTCGGTGTGCTGCTGCCTCAGGATGTTACGTCTCGAGGGTCGTTGGTGGCTGTAGGGTTTAGGGTTTAGGGTTTAGGGTTTAGGGTTTGGGGTTTAGGGGCCCCTGCGTCCCCCAAAACGCTGAAGCCAATGCACCCTGTTTACCCGAAGCCCCAATATGCTTAAAGTCCGAAACCTACATCTACCCCATGCCCTGTTTTGTGCTTCTGGATTTAAGGGTTATACCCCTTTGCAAAGCCCCACTTCGCACACCGAGGTGCGGTGATAGGTTTTGAAGGATGCGTAGCTGTTCGCATGCTTCTTCGCCTGCAGCGGCACCCATGCAACCCCGAATTTTATGGACCCCACAAGCCGCCTACCCTCCCGTGTCGAGCCAAACCCTTAGGGTTTAGGGTTTAGGGTTTAGGGTTTAGGGTTTAGGGTTTAGGGTTCAGGGTTTAGGGTTTAGGGTTTAGGGTTTGGAGCAACACCTTGCCGGAAGGGTCCAGTGCTTCGGCCTGCAGGGCCTTCAGCACAGCACTCGAAACTTCGGAGCTCAGGAAACCGGCAGCAAGAGCTCCAACCTTCATCTTGGAATGGGGCCTCCCTAAGCCAGCCCTAAACCCTAAACCCTAAACCCTAAACCCTAAACCCTAAACCCTAAACCCTAAACCTTAAACCCTAAACCCTAAACCCTGAACCCTGAACCCCAAACCCTAAACCCTAAACCCTAAACGCTAAACCCTAAACCCTGAACCTGCACTTCGAACCCCTGTCCTGGATCCCAATCAGATGGCCGCTGGCATCGTAGGAGAGGTGAGGGTCCACAAAGGTTGTAATGACATCTCGCTGCCAGTAGAGTACCTCACAAGCTTGGGGTTTGAGGAGTTGTGGTTTGGGGTCCCTAAACCCTAAGCCCTAAGCCCTAAACCCTAAACCCTAAACCCTAAACCCGAAACCCGAAACCCTAAACCCTAAACCCTAAACAATAAACCCTAAACCCTAAACCCTATCCCGGAAGCTGCAGCAGCCACGATGCAAAAAGGTGCTCCTGCCAGGATTTCTGATTGGCGGCACAGTCCACGTCCTGCTTGGAGGCGCTGATGGGTTGGGTTCTGGTGCTTAGGGCGTAGGGTGAAGAGTTTGGAATTTGGGTTTAAGGTTGAGTGTTAGGGTTGAAGATGTCCAGTTTTTTTGTGGTATAGAGTCTTGGGGATTGCGTAGGGGTTTAAGGCTTAAGGGCTCGGGGAAAGAGGGGGGGGGTGCAGGGTTTGCCGCACCTCCCCGAAACCCTCCCAGACATCAAAGGCGCAGAGGCTAAAAGTTGGGACGCTTTGGGGATTCTAAAGGGTTATGTGGTTTGGGTCCTTCTTATGACCAGAACGGAATCCTACTATCTGGGGTCCATTCTTTTTGGGGTCCCCTATTTCGTGAACGACCACTTCGGCTTGCTGGGGTTGCGGATTTATAGAGTTTAGGGTTTAGGGTTTGGTGTTTAGGGTTTAGAGTTTAGGGTGTAGGGTTGAGGATTTTGGGGCAAAGGGTTTGGGTTTGGGGTTGAGGGCTTTACTACCTCCTTTCAGGGCACTTAGCGAGTTCCTGAAGGCGATTGCAAACCGGACACCCTTGAGAGACAACATGTCGAAAAACCATCTGGACCCAAACTCTCCAGCGTCTGTTGGCGTTAAGAAACTTTCTGTCGGGGGTTTCCGGAATTAGGTGTACGAGTGCCTTGTTGGGGTCCCTACTATTTGGGGATCAAAATTCGGGGCCCCCTATGCTTAAAAACCCCCATATGGCTCCTCCACGAAGTAGTGCGAGGCCGCAGCATCTGCAAGCGTTGTGCTGGTGCAATATTGCGGAGGCCTGACAACCAGGAACTCTTTGCCAGGCTTTGGGGCGGGGGTTGATTCTTTGGAGCCGTGGGCTGGGGACGATGATGACGGGCTTTGGGTGAAGCAGCAGGGCGGTGATGCTGCTGATGTTCGCCCCTTCTCCGTGCTTCTCCGGGCTTGGGAGCCCAAAGAAGGGGCGGACATCAGCAGCATCATCGCCCTGCTGCTTCACCCGAAGCCCGAAGAAGGCGCCAGCATCAGCTGCATCATCGCCCGGGCGCTTCGTCTGGAGCGGCTCCAAAGCCCGGAGAAGGGGCCTGGCAATGTGATGACGCTGCTGATGTTCGCTCTCTCGGGGATTAGGAACCCATTCGCACCCTATCCGGGCTTTGGAGCCCCTCCAGGTGAAGCAGCAGGGCGATGATGCTGCTGATGTTCGCCCCTTGGGCTTTGGGTGAAGCAGCAGGGCGATGATGCTGCTGATGCTGCTTCTCCGGGCTTGGGAGCCCAAAGAAGGGGCGGACATCAGCAGCATCATCGCCCTGCTGCTTCACCCGAAGCCCGAAGAAGGCGCCAGCATCAGCTGCATCATCGCCCGGGCGCTTCGTCTGGAGCGGCTCCAAAGCCCGGAGAAGGGGCCTGGCAATGTGATGACGCTGCTGATGTTCGCTCTCTCGGGGATTAGGAACCCATTCGCACCCTATCCGGGCTTTGGAGCCCCTCCAGGTGAAGCAGCAGGGCGATGATGCTGCTGATGTTCGCCCCTTGGGCTTTGGGTGAAGCAGCAGGGCGATGATGCTGCTGATGCTGCTTCTCCGGGCTTGGGAGCCCAAAGAAGGGGCGGACATCAGCAGCATCATCGCCCTGCTGCTTCACCCGAAGCCCGAAGAAGGCGCCAGCATCAGCTGCATCATCGCCCGGGCGCTTCGTCTGGAGCGGCTCCAAAGCCCGGAGAAGGGGCCTGGCAATGTGATGACGCTGCTGATGTTCGCTCTCTCGGCGATTAGGAACCCACTCGCACCCTATCCGGGCTTTGGAGCCCCTCCAGGTAAAGCAGCAGGGCGATGATCCTGCTGATGTTCGCCCCTTCTCTGGGCTTTGGGTGAAGCAGCAGGGCGATGATGCTGCTGATGCTCGCCCCTTCTCCGTGCTTCTCCGGGCTTGGGAGCCCAAAGAAGGGGCGGACATCAGCAGCATCATCGCCCTGCTGCTTCACCCGAAGCCCGAAGAAGGCGCCAGCATCAGCTGCATCATCGCCCGGGCGCTTCGTTTGGAGCGGCTCCATATGTGATGACGCTGCTGATGTTCGCTCTCTCGGGGATTAGGAACCCATTCGCACCCTATCCGGGCTTTGGAGCCCCTCCAGGTGAAGCAGCAGGGCGATGATGCTGCTGATGTTCGCCCCTTCTCTGGGCTTTGGGTGAAGAAGCAGCAGGGCGATGATACTGCTGATGTTCGCCGCTTCTCCGTGCTTCTCCGGGCTTGGGAGCCCAAAGAAGGGGCGAACATCAGCAGCATCATCGCCCTGCTGCTTCACCCGAAGCCCGAAGAAGGCACCAGTATCAGCTGCATCATCGCCCGGGCGCTTCGTCTGGAGCGGCTCCAAAGCCCGGAGAAGGGGCCTGGCAATGTGATGACGCTGCTGATGTTCGCTCTCTTGGGGATTAGGAACCCATTCGCACCCTATCCGGGCTTTGGAGCCCCTCCAGGTGAAGCAGCAGGGCGATGATGCTGCTGATGTTCGCCCCTTCTCTGGGCTTTGGGTGAAGCAGCAGGGCGATGATCCTGCTGATGTTCGCCCCTTCTCCGTGCTTCCCGGGCTTGGGAGCCCAAAGAAGGGGCGAACATCAGCAGCATCATCGCCCTGCTGCTTCCACCCGAAGCCCGAAGAAGGCGCCAGCATCAGCTGCAATCGCCCCGGGCAACTTCGTCTGGAGCGGCTCCAAAGCCCGGAGAAGGGGCCTGGCAATGTGATGACGCTGCTGATGTTCGCTCTCTCGGCGATTAGAAACCCATTCGCACCCTAGATCCGGGCTTTGGAGCCCCTCCAGGTGAAGCAGCAGGGCGATGATCCTGCTGATGTTCGCCCCTTCTTTGGGCTTTGGGTGAAGCAGCAGGGCGATGATGCTGCTGATGCTCGCCCCTTCTCCGTGCTTCTCCGGGCTTGGGAGCCCAAGAAAAGAGGCGGACATCAGCAGCATCATCGCCCTGCTGCTTCACCCGAAGCCCGAAGAAGGCGCCAGCATCAGCTGCATCATCGCCCGGGCGCTTCGTCTGGAGCGGCTCCAAAGCCCGGAGAAGGGGCCTGGCAATGTGATGACGCTGCTGATGTTCGGTCTCTCGGGGATTAGGAACCCATTCGCACCCTATCCGGGCTTTGGAGCCCCTCCAGGTGAAGCAGCAGGGCGATGATGCTGCTGATGTTCGCCCCTTCTCTGGGCTTTGGGTGAAACAGCAGGGCGATGATGCTGCTGATGTTCGCCCCTTCTCCGTGCTTCTCCGGGCTTGGGAGCCCAAAGAAGGGGCGAACATCAGCAGCATCATCGCCCTGCTGCTTCACCCGAAGCCCGAAGAAGGCGCCAGCATCAGCTGCATCATCGCCCGGGCGCTTCGTCTGGAGCGGCTCCAAAGCCCGGAGAAGGGGCCTGGCAATGTGATGACGCTGCTGATGTTCGCTCTCTTGGGGATTAGGAACCCATTCGCACCCTATCCGGGCTTTGGAGCCCCTCCAGGTGAAGCAGCAGGGCGATGATGCTGCTGATGTTCGCCCCTTCTCTGGGCTTTGGGTGAAGCAGCAGGGCGATGATGCTGCTGATGCTCGCCCCTTCTCCGTGCTTCTCCGGGCTTGGGAGCCCAAAGAATGCGCGAACATCAGCAGCATCATCGCCCTGCTGCTTCACCCGAAGCCCGAAGAAGGCGCCAGCATCAGCTGCATCATCGAACGGGCGCTTCGTCTGGAGCGGCTCCAAAAGCCCGGAGAAGGGGCCTGGCAATGTGATGACGCTGCTGATGTTCGCTCTCTCGGGGATTAGGAACCCATTCGCACCCTATCCGGGCTTTGGAGCCCCTCCAGGTGAAGCAGAAGGGCGATGATGCTGCTGATGTTCGCCCCTTCTCTGGGCTTTGGGTGAAGCAGCAGGGCGATGATGCTGCTGATGTTCGCCCCTCCAGGTGAAGCAGCAGGGGATGATGCTGCGGGTGTTCGCCCCCTCTCCTGGCTCTGAAGCCCCTTCAGGCGAAGCGCTACTGATGTTGGCCCTTGCTTTAGGGTTCAGGGGTCTTGGCTACAGGGGTTTAGAGTGCAGTGAGGATCCCAGAATGTCAGAATACCACGAGACCCCGAAGACCGGTCAGTCGTCAGGTCTCCTCAAACGCCCTAGAAGGTCGACTCTGCGCAAACTCACCCTAAAAGCTACGACCATGCAAGCTCAAGAATCTGCTATAACCCTGGGACCCTACCTCATTAACTGCATAGGGTGGCCTCTTGAACTTTTAAAGACCTTGGGGAAAATACAAAGTATCCCAAAGTCCATGTTTCATCGGTTCATCGGGGGACTCTAGAGCCTTGAGGGCTAGCGGCTGCCCAGAACTACGAGAAGGGGGGGGGGGGGGGGGGGTGTTCGGGTTTAGGGTTTAGGGTTTAGGGTTTAGGGTTTAGGGTTTAGGGTTTAGGGTTTAGGTTTAGGGTTTAGGGTTTAGGGTTTAGGGTTTAGGGTTTAGGGTTTAGGGTTTAGGGTTTAGGGTTTAGGGTTTAGGGTTCAGGGTTTAGGGTTTAGGGTTTAGGGTTGCTTAAGCTACTTGCACAGCCCAGCCGCGCGCAGGCGTTGCAGGACACCGCGGCCGGATCAAAGCAGTTGCCCGAGCTACTCCCGAAGCCTGCCACCTTCCACGGACAGAAAGTGCATATATGTTTAGGGTTTAGGGTTTAGGGTCTAGGGTCTAGCGTTTAGGGTTTCGGGCTTAGGGTATATAGGCCGATGTTCCATCTACCCACCAGCCAAAACGGCGTATTCATTACTCCGCTCGCCGGTGTAGTGCAAACGACACTTGTCAGCACGCCGCTACTCCGCAAGAGTCGTGCATATCTTCATGCTCAATAAGAGGCCCCGTAGCTAAACTTTCGGCCCAGGGATGTATATTTATATGTATATATATATAATATATTTGTATACACACATATACATATATACATATATATATATATATCTGTGTGTGTGATGTACGCGTGACGGTATGACGGTATGACGGTATGACAGTATGACGGTATGACGGTATGGCGGTATGACGGTATGACGGTCTGTTTTAAAGTAAAGTAAAGCAAAGCAAAGTAAAGTAAAGCCTAAATTACCGTAAAACCCAAGAGCCCTACAGCCACGAGACCACGAACTTATACAAAAACAACAACAAATCAACATGGACTGGAATGATGGCCTACGTGCTCGGGGTCCTAGTGTCTAAGCTGGGTTGCTGCCAAGGAAGTTTTGGAACGTCTTTTCAGGGGATTCTGTGTACTGGGGGGTGATGGGGAGGGTTTCGCGCTTAGGGTTTAGAGTTTAGGTTTAAGGGCTCCCCGCAAGGAGTGTATGCACGTGACCCCTAATCCTTGATCCCTAAACCGTAGACTCCAGACCCTCAACTGGCGCAGGCAAAAGCAGAGCTCGGTGTCACAATCCTACATGGCCAGTTCACTAAAGTATGAGCTTTAGTGTAAAGTCTCGTATTCTAACAGGTGCTCCAAAATGGGAGCCATCAAGCCTCAAAGCCTACCCTTGAAGAAACTCCAGCCAAACCACATCAACCCCCAGAAACTCCTAACAACCCAAACCCAAAGACCCCAACACCTAAAGCCAAAAATGCTAACCCGCCCCCGCTAAACCCCCTATCCCTAAACCCTAAACCCGAAACCCTAAACCCCCCCCTGACCAGGTTGAAAGCCCCATGAGGATCGCCATCCACCGTCTCCTTGCGCAGACGATGCGGGAGGAAGACTTGGGAGGCTTTAGACATGAAGAAACAGAAATTTGTTTACAGTTTAGTATTCTCGTACTGCTTAGATGGACTTACACACATATATGTCTTTACATATATAGATATATATATATATATATATACATATACATATATATATATTGCGTATAGTATATATGTACATAAGTTTCATAGGTTCCAGAGAGACTGCAGTGCAACCCAATTGTACAATGCATCGGAAATGCAAGGGTTTGACTTCACAGTTCTTCACATCTATTTTAAGCTCTAGGACCGGCCTGCAGCGAGCCCCGAAACCCTTAATGGGCAGCCTACTGCACTTCACATGGCAGGGATAAATCAGTCCTCCTTGTGGGAGCTTCTGATGAGTTCTACGTAGAAGGAGACGTCTTGGGAAAACTGCGGCTGTCTCTTTGGGAACAGGGAACTACTTCGATCGACTGCCACTAAAATACCGAAAGCCCCCCTGTTTGTGAGCTTTCAGGTCAGGGTGTTCCAGGGGTTTCGGGGCTTGGGGCATCCGAGACGGTTCGGGCCACCATGACCATGGTTCAGGCTTGTGAAAGATGAGAAAGAAAAAACCCGGAGCCCCCTAAACCCCAAGCCCTAAGCCCTAAACCCTAAACCCTAAGCCCTAAGCCCTAAGCCCTAAACCCTAAGCCCTAAGCCCCAAGCCCCAAGCCCCAAGCCCCAAGCCCCAAGCCCCAAGCCCCAAGCCCCAAGCCCCAAGCCCTAAGCCCTAAGCCCTAAGCCCTAAGCCCTAAGCCCTAAGCCCTAAGCCCTAAGCCCTAAGCCCCAGCCTCCCCAACACCCACATAGATATTTACTACTATATATATATACACACACACACTTAGAGTTTAGGGTTTAGGGTTTAGGGTTCTAAATAGTAAACATTCCCATTGCTTCCTGCCTTAGCTTGTGTTCTAGCGCATCCCGAGGCACCAGAACGTCGATCTCCCCGCTGCATGGCCAGGGACCATACCGGCCATCTCCTGCAGCTGAAGCCGTGGGTTTAGGGTTTAGGGTTTAGGGCTTAGGGTTTAGGGTTTAGGGTTTAGGGTTTAGGGTTTAAGGATCCCCGACCCCCCCCCCCCTCCCCCAATGCCCCCCACACCGCCTTCCCCTAACACTAGATGTGGGTTGTTTGCACCTAAACCCTAAACCCCAAACCCTAAACCACATAAACCCTGGACCTAACCCTAAACCCCAAACTGGGATTGGCTATCAACGGGGACATGCATGCACACCAACGTCACTGGAAAAAACTGAGTCGAGGGAACCCCGTTGCGAGTTTTGGGGCCAGTAGGCCTTAGGAATCTTTGGGCAATCTGGGGTTAAGGGTTTAGAGTTTAGGGTTTAGGGCCCAAATTCTCTAAAATGTGCATCCCGCGCCCGGCCTTTGGAACTGCCCGGCAGAAGCCACCTCCACTAGCATTTCAGGTGGGGACTTTGAACTGCCCTAGTTACTTTGGAGTAAACCCTGGACAAACAAGTATATACTTTTTGTGTATAAGTAGCTATAATATATAGGAACCCAGAACCCCAAAAAAGTATTAAAGTATAGCACTCCAAGACTCAGACTAAGCACTCCCCCCCCCCCCCCCCAACAGAAAGGTACATGGGGCTAGGCGAACTTCCGGGCTTCCATCTCATGAAACAAGATTAAAGGGGGAGAATGGTGGACAGAAGACCTGTTAAAACTGAGCCAGAAAGGATGGGGAATGTTCACCAAGATCGTTCATTCACCCTCATTTTTCAGTTAGCAAAAGAGCTCACTGCGCTGCAGCACGCCAACGACAAAACGCTGAAGAGTGTGCCCTATAAGAACAGCCAGTGTCCTCTGCAACCCCAAAGTTAGGTGTTTCGAGGATGGGGGGGGGGGGGGTCTGAGGGGTTGGTGTGATGGAGGGTTGAAGGTTCACGGATCTCTAAGCCCCAAATTCCTAAACCCAAACCCTACCCCCTAAACCCTAAATCCTAAACCCTAAACAATAAACCCTAAACCCGAAACCCTAACCCCAAGCCCCAAACCCCAAACCCCAACCCCCAAACCCTAAACCCTAACCCCAAACCCTAAACCCTAAACCCTAAACCTAAACCCTAACCCGAGAACCTGCTGTGAGCAGACAAGCTGCAAGGCCGGCCACACGCTGTGGCACTTTGGGACAGTGGCAGAGAAAGTGAAGATGCCTCTTCTGATGTTTAGGGTAGGGTTTAGGGTTAGGGTTTAGGGTTTAGGGTTTAGGGTTTAGGGTTTAGGGTTTAGGGTTTAGGGTTTAGGGTTTAGGGTTTAGGGTTTAGGGTTTAGGGTTTAGGGTTTAGGGTTTAGGGTTTAGGGTTTAGGGTTTCGGGTTTAGGGTTTAGGGTTTTTGGGTTTAGGGTTCAGGGTGCCTAAAAGGGTGGGGGCAGATCCGCATGGCAATCCCAAGAGGTAATACCGATATTCAACTCATTCCCCACTCCCCCCTTCAAGCTCTAGCTGACAGCGTGCGGCGACATTCAGGCTCCCTTCAACCCTCCAAACCCCTAAACCCTAAACCCTAAACCCTAAACCCTAAACCCTAAACCCACTTTTTGATGATTTGCGAGGTGGAGAACTGAGGATCAGCTTCGGTGATATCAGCGAGTGCTTTGACGGGCCAGACCTTCAAGCCCTAGGCCCTCGTTGACTCGTTTAGGGTTTAGGGTTTAGGGTTTAGGGTTTAAGGTTTAGGGTTTAGGGTTTAGGGTTTAGGGTTCAGGGTTTAGGGTTTAGGGTTTAGGGTTTAGGGTTTAGGGTTTAGGGTTTAGGGTTTGGGGTGTAGGGTTAGGGTTTAGGGTTTAGGGGTTGCCAGAACTTACAACTACTTACAGTCTCCCACTTCGATAGTGTTTACCCATGCCTTCAAAAAGCGGCACAAGGGTGGTCAGCTAACTTGCAGCAGCCTTCCGGGTGACACCGCTTGAATCCGATTCTGGGGCGTGTGCTTTTTACATGGCATACTGAACACAATTCTGCTCGAAAACAGATCTGCTTGAAGAACCCTAAACCCTACACCCTAAACCCTAAACCCTAAACCCCAAACCCTAAACCCTAAACCCTAAACCCTAAACCTGGGGCCTAGGACCTAGGGTGCCTTGTGCCGAACCCTAAAACTGCAGGCGAAGCTTCCGTATGTGAAGGCATCCTTGCTCATGACTCGGCCTGGCAAGGCAACACTGGGAGACAAGGGTTTAGGGTTTAGGGTTTAGGGTTTCGAGTTTAGGGTTTCGGGTTTAGGGGGACTCATCTACACTACGGGATCTTTCAGCACGCGAAGCTTTGGTAAGGTTATGCCTAAACCCTAAATCCTAAACCCTAAACCCTAAAACCCTAAAACCCTAAAACCCTAAACCCCAAACCCGAAGGGCTTGGGCTTTGGGGTTTGGCCTTGCAAGCCCCTGAAGCCAACAAGCTGTGGGCTTCGCAAGCTTGATAAGAGCCTGAAGCCTGCTCTGGCAATGCCCCATCCTCCCAAGAAGCAAGGGACCATAACATAAGGTTTAGGGTTTAGGGTTTAGGGTTTAGGGTTTAGGGTTTAGGGGTTTAGGGGTTTAGGGGTTTAGGGGTTTAGGGGTTTAGGGGTTAGGGGTTTAGGGTTTAGGGTTTAGGGTTTAGGGTCTAGGGTCTAGGGTCTAGGGTTTAGGGTTTAAGGTTTAGGGTTTAGGGGAAAGGGCGCGGCCAAGGACCAGATGGAGAGAATGATAGCCATCAGTGTGGGATTTCAGGTGAATGCGACGCTTAGGAATGTATTCGCACCCCGAAGGCTGCCTTCCCGCTTTTTCACGTTTCGAGATAGGCAACGAGTGGGCGCTTCCCAAAAGATCGGACACCCCTCTACTTACTGGCCCCAAAACCAAGGAAATAAAAGTTGAAACTTTCAGAATAAACTACCTTTATGAGAAGCCCAAAAGTTGAAAAGTTGGGTTTTGAGCCAGTAAGTCTATACACCCCAAAGTACTACAATCCTTCCCCAAAAAGCCACATGGAAACTCCCAAAGAGAGGCGGAAAGCGCCTGAAAGTCTAATCGGATCAACTGCAGCAGCAGGATGAGGAGAGGCCCTAAACCCTAAACCCTAAACCCTAAACCCTAAACCCTAAACCCTAAACCCTAAACCCTAAACCCTAAACCCTAAAACCCTAAGTGGCATCTTCAGGTGCTTTAAGAGCCACGTACTGCTGCAGATGCGTTGGAACCGTAGACCCTGAACCCCAAACCCCTCAGGATTAGGGTTTAGGGCGCGCTTAGGGTTGAGGGTTGAGGGTTGAGGGTTGGGGGTCGAGGGTTGAGGGTCGAGGGTCGAGGGTTGAGGGTTGAGGGTTGAGGGTTTAGGGTACCCCAAGCCCGAAACCACAAAGACGCCACCTGAGTTCAGGCAGCGACCATCGGCGCACGCTGAAGCCACCTTTAGAACCAGCTTGCCATCTTGGCTGAAGACCGTGGAGCCATCGTCAACCTAGTAGGGTTGTAGGGTTTTGGGGTTTAGGGTTTCGGGCCGTAGGGCTTTTAGGGTTATAGGGCTATAGGGTTATAGGGTTACAGGGTTTAGGGTCTGGGGTCTAGGGTGATGGTGTCAGGGTCAGGGCATGGAAAACAGCCGAGACGGCGGAAAGGTCAAGGCGCTAGAGGCCAAGATTGGAAGCTGCAGTCCTCTAAACCCCAAACCCCAAAAACTCTAACAACCCTGAAAACCCTTCAAACCCTAAACACCCTAAACGCCCTCACAAAAACCCTAACAACCCTAAAAACCCTTCAAACCATAAACACCCTACACACCCTAAACACCCTAAATTCACCGAGAGGCCCCAGACTGCCCGTGCTTTCTGAGGGGGAGGTGGGGGCGGGGGTTCAAGGTTTGCATGATACTGTTCCGGTCCGCTGCCTGGTCCTGAACCGTTCTTGGGCCTGCTGAGGGGTTTAGGGTTTAGGGTTTAAGGTTTTGGGGTTTAGGGTTTAAGGCTTTGGGGTTTAGGGTTTAGGGATAGGGTTAAAGTTTTAGAGCGTAGGGTGTATAGGGTTTAGGGCCTAATTAGGGCTAGGGCTACCGAGCGGGACCATGCTTTGGAAACCCCCCCCCCCATTCTTCTTTAAACGGTCTTGGGTTGGTGGCTTGCCCACCAAACTGTCCGATACTCTGTCCACCTAAACCCTTAAACCCTAAACACTGAAACTCCATGCCTCTTAAGAAGTCATAACTCCCATTTTTTGAGGGGGGCGGGGGTAAACCCAAACCCGAAACCCGAAACCCTAGAAACCCTGAGGGAAGGTGTGAGGTGCAGATTGTGCGCTTGGGGGCCAGGTTTCAGCGCGTCATGAACGGAGAGACCTGCTTCTTCTAGCCAAGCATAGAGCTGAGGGTTTAAGGCGAAGGTGTTAACATGATGCAGGGGGCGCATCGAATTCGCGCTTGGCTTGCGACATCCCCCATACCCTCCCTAAGCCTTACCTAAAGCCCGAAAGCCTAAACCTTCGAGAAGCGCTTTCTCACAGTGTCGCTGGCCCCGTAAACCTAATCCTTCATCAGCAGCACAAGAACTAAGTCATCCGTGGCACGTAGTTTGAGCAGGAATGCGTCATGTTCTGATCCGGAATCCTTGGATTGGGGGGTTGAGGATTGAGGAAAAAAGCTTGTGGTTTGGAGTGCTGGACTACTCGGAGTACTTGTGGCGTGTGCTGGTCGGGCTGCTTTAATTGGTTTGAACATTCAGGGTTTTGGGTTTCCTTGAAGGTATCTTGTGGCTCTGAGCATGCGGGTGTAAGCTAACCGGCTGAGGAAATTTGCTGGTTCGGCTGGGCGGCTAATTCTGGGGCTCGGGCATATCGGACAATTGTGCAATCGAAACCGTGGATCCCGCACCATGAATACCCTCCAACCCTCAACACAGAAGCCCAGAAGACTCCCAAGGTCAAAGAAAAAGGCAAACCCAAAACCCTAAACCCTAAAACCCTAAACCCTCAACCCATCGGATCTTCAGGCTTGACGTGGCCACTCGAGGCATTGGTGGCCCGTGGGGTTTAGGTTCTAGAGTGCAGGATGTGGCGATTCCGGTTCAGTCAAAGAAGGACTCAGAGCTTCGGCCTTCAGACTGAGAAAGACCCAAGTATTGTCTTGGTTCTCCGAACCTCAAGCTGACTTTAAGCTATTCTGTGCTGAACGAAACCCTATATAAAATCTACGAACCCTGAACACCCTAAAACCCTGTAAGTCCTGTAACCAATAACACCTGAAACTCATCAATCCTGAACTTTAGGCAGCCATGGCGTTTGCAGCAAAGCAATAAGGCTTCGACTGCACGACGTCAAACTCTTGCTTCGGATCCCCTGCACCGGAGCCGTTTAAGGTTTAGGGTTTAGGGTTTAGGGTTTAGGGTTTAGGGTTTAGGGTGCATGGTTTAGGGTTTA